ATACATATATAATTATATATTAATTATATTAATATATAATATAATTAATATATTATATATTATATATATTAATATAATTAATATATAAAATATATAATTATATATTTTATATATTATATATAATATATATATATTTTCATGGAAAGACTCTCTTTCTTACTTTCTGCCAGGAAGCGTTTCCAGATCCCATACCATATCCTTCTTGCTAAGGCTAAAATCCACTCCTGAAGAGCACGTGCTCTCCAGCGTTACTCTTTGCAAAATATCAGGAACTCATTTACTAAGGAGATTAGAAAAACATTAAAATTGCTCAGACAACTAAAGCAGGCTGTAAGGGTAACAAACAGAGAGGTATGTTTCAGATAAGAAAGGGTGTGTATGTGCACTTTCCTGAATGTGTCTGAAGTCCCTTTTTTAATTGTAATTGATAAACAAAAGGAGAAAAAGCAACTCAACGTGCAAGACAAACTAGAACACAATAAGAAGAATATTAATTACAGGAGAGAATTAGGGACAATTGTATTTCTAAACTCCTTCTCTAACCTACCTCATCTGTCCCAGCAGATTTCAGTTCTAACCTGGCCTAAGTGTGTTCTTTTCTTTGAGCCTCAATTTCCTCATATGTAAAATGAGGATATTGATAGCTACCTTATAGGGTAATTGTAACGATTACATAATATATATTAGGAAAGTGCTTAGAAAAGTGAAGATAACACAGTAAGTTCTCAATATACATAAAGGGGGTAATGATACCACTACGGATTTGGTTTTCTTTTTAAAAGAAAACTGACAGTGAGGTAAGGCTGTGGACCTTTGAGCACTGATGAGCTCTTCAGGCAGAAGCTGTGCTGACTCATCTAAAAATAGGCTACTGACGGCACCATGGCTCATGCCTGTAATGCCGGCACTTTGGGAGGCTGAGGTGGGTGGATCACTTGAGGTCAGGAGTTCAAGACCAGCCTGGCCACCAAGGCGAAACCCTGTCTCTACTAAAAATACAAAAATTAGCTGGGTGTGGTGGCGGGTGCCTGTAATCTCAGCCACTCGGGAGGCTGAGGCAGGAAAATCGCTTGAAACTGGGAGGTGGAGGTTGCAGTGAGGTGAGATCACAGCACTGCACTCCAGTATGGATGACAGAGTAAGACTCTGTCTCAAAATAAATAAATAAATAAATAACAGGCTACTTATGTGACCAGTGTGCCAGATATTTCTAGTTACATCTCAGTTGTGTGTTTGTGTGTGTGTGTGTGTGTGTGACACAGTTTCCCTCTTGTTGCCCAGGCTGGAGTACAGTGGCGTGATCTTGGCTCACTGCAACCTCCACCTCCCAAGTTCAAGCAATTCTCCTGCCTCAGCCTCTCAAGTAGCTGGGACTACAGGCATGCACCACCATGCCCGTCTAATTTTGTATTTTTAGTGGAGACGAGGTTTCACCATGTTGGCCAGACCGGTCTCGGACTCTTGACCTCAGGTGATCCACCCTCCTCAGCCTCCCAAAGTGCTGGGATTACAGGCGTGAGCCACCACACCCTGCCTCAATTCTGTTTCTACAAACAAGGAAAACCTCTAATAGTTTGAAGAATGCTATGAATAACTGCATGCTTACTTTAGGAGTCACATTTGGAAACAGAGCCAAACATAATCAACATCTCAGAAACGACATTCAGGCAGCATATAAAGACTCCTGGAATGATTAAATTACCACTTACGACGTTAAAAATTTCCTTCAGTGAATTAGTCAACATAAAGACACCCATTTTCTTATAAGTTCCACATTTACTATCTGACTTACAGTTTATTTTCTTCGAAATAATTCCTAGTGTATACAGGACATTGAAATATTTCCCCTAGATTTATTCAAAGCTTCCAAGTCACTTAAAACCAACTGTTTATGGCCAGGTGCGGTGGCTCATGCCTGTAATCCCAGAACTTTGGGGGACAAAGGCGTGTAGATCATGAGGTCAGGAGTTCAAGACCAGCTGGACCAACATGGTGAAACCCCATCTCTACTAAAAATACAAAAATTAGCCATGCGCAGTGGCACACACCTGTAATCTCGGCTACTCAGGAGGCTGAGGAGAGGAGAATCACTTGAGCCCATGAGGTGGAGGTTGCAGTAAGCCGAGATCGTGCCATTGCACTCTAGCCTAGAAGACAGGGTGAGACTCTGTTTCAAAACAAGAACAAAAACAAAAACAAACAAACAAACAAAAAACAGGCTGGGTGTGGCGGCTCATGCCTGTAATCCCCGCATTTTTGGAAGGCCGAGGTGGGTGGATCACGAGGTAAAGAGTTTGAGACCAGCTTGGCCAGCATGGTGAAACCCCGTCGCTACTAAAAATACAAAAAATTAGCCAGGTGTGGTGGCGCGTGCCTGTAGTCCTAGCTACTTGGGAGGCTGAGGCAGGAGAATTGCTTGAACTCAAGAGGAGGAGGTTGCAGTGTGCCGAGATCCAGCCACTGTACTCCAGCCTGGGCGACAGAGCAAGATTCTGTCTCCAAAACAAAACAAAACAAAACAAAACAAAACAAAACAAAACCCCCAGCTGTTTAATGTATATTTTCTTGGCAAATGAGAGGTACCTGTAAAAGATAAGTTTAGCTAGTGGACCATAGAATGTTTATTTCATAATATCAAATACTTAGTTCTGTCCAAATTGTCATTGGTATATATACTTTCACCATGCTTAGGTAGACATATAATAGCAAACTTAAATTCAGGGAACATCTCACAAACATAGGAAACTCTCATTGAAATTACTTGTTATTATTGTGGAAGTTTCCTACTCAATAATCCAAAGTAGAAGGGAAATAACGTAGCAGAAATAAACTTGGATTTCTCTTTCAAAACCTTAAGCAAGAATATCTTAAGAAAAATGTTGGTAACATTTTCTAAAACCTGTGTAAGTGTGAAGGTGTCATGTGTTTGTCTATGTGCACGTGTCTCTTTTATAATGCAAAAATCCTTGGGTCAAGATAGCAAGAATGTATTTTTATTCAAAAGAACAGTCCCTGAGTGCCAGAGATTGTGCTAAGTCCCAGAGTTAGAAAGAGAAACCAGAACTAAGCCTGTCCTCAAAGAACTCAACCAACTAGTAAAAAGTTGGCTAGAAGTGACACTAGAAAGTGTTCAAATGTACTTCTATAGAGGTTGAACATTTCAATTACAGTTAAGAACATTTCAATTCAAGAACATTTCAATTAAGCTGGGATACTTTTGTGAATGAAGGGAGTGTTTACTTATAGTTATGTACAAACAATAGGCATAAATTGGGGATGTCCCAGGTAAACCTGAGTATATGATTGGTCACCCAAGTTACTTGCAAATTTCCATTGACATACAGAAGGGGAAATACTCAACTCTTGTCAGTAGAGTGGGAGGTAGGTGTGGTGGTTGAAGAGATTAGGAAGGAATTCAAGAAGCATATAATATCTAGCCATCTGCTGACATTACTTTATTAATTAATTCATTCCAAAGTATTTATTTAGTGCCAACTATGCACCAGGCAACATGTTAGAGGCTGAGGATATAAAATAAGATGGGGACTCTAATCTCAAGGAGCTTATAATGATGTGTTGAGGAATGGGGAGACAGACAATAATCAAATAATGATATAATTCATAATTATAAACTGGGTAAATGATTAAGCATTAAAAAGTATAGGGAGCTATGAGTTGAGCCTTAAAGGAAAGAGTTAAAATTTGCTGGGCAGAGAAGAATTTTTCAGATTACAAGTATATGAAGATTAATATGATATAGTGCCTTAGTCAACACCTCATGCCTAATATTATTGGCAAGGAGTGATAAATGAAAGCATTGAAGATGGTGAAAGCAAAATAGTCACATTTGCTCAAAAAAAGAAGGTGAGTGGGGAGAAAAGTTTCAAAGATGATGTTTTAGTTTATGACATGTGTTGAAAGGGGGTGTTGGCTGGGCATGGTGGTTCATGTCTATGATCCCAGCACTTTGGAAGGCCAAGGCAGGAGGATCGCTTGAGCCCAGGATTTGAGACCAGCCTGGGCAACATGTGCTGAAACCTCGTCTCTACAAAAAATACAAAAATTAGTCAGGCATGGTGGCCTAGGCGTGCAGTCCCAGCTACTCTGGAGGGTGAGGTGGGAGAATGGCTTGAGCCCTGGAGGCAGAGGTTACAGTAAGCAAAGAGGGCATCACTGCACTCCAGCCTGGGTGACAGAACCAGACCCTGTCTTAAGAACAACAAAAAAATAGAGTCATTATCTTTTGTTGTTACTGTTTGAAAAAATCCACAAATGAATGCTTTAAAGACTGGCATACTTTGGAAAATCACATTACTCAGATGAAATTATAGAACTGGATGTAATTTGTTTTAAGAAACTAAGAGCTTTGTCACCAGATAGCCATGTGTTGAAGATACAGAGCTTGCCTATAACTTGTTTAAGAATATGATTAAGCAAATGATTGCAAACTTGCATCTGAATCTAAAGAAAGCAGAGAAACATATGCAGCCAAAATCTGCTACAAGTGACCTCAAGGAG